CTCTTTTTCTCTCTATTTTTTCTTTCTTTCTCGCTCTTTTTCTCTCTATTTCTATTTCTCTTTATTTCTCTCTATTTCTGTTTCTATTTCTCTCTTTGTTTCTTTCTCTATTTCTCTCATTTCTCTATTTCTCTTTCTATTTTTCTCTATTTCTATTTCTTTCTATTTCTTTGTCTCTATTTCTCTCTTTCTCTCTCTGTATTTCTTTTTCTCTCTATTTCTGTTTCTTTTTCTATTTCTCGATTTCTCTATTTTTTCTTTTTCTCTTTATTTCTCTTTCTCTATTTTTTCTTTCTCTTTCTCTTTCTCGCTCTATTTTTCCCTCTATTTCTATTTCTCTCTCTCTTTATTTCTCTCTATTTCTCTGTTTCTATTTCTCTTTGTCTCTCTTATTTCTTTTTCTCTCTATTTCTTTCTATTTCTTTCTCTCTCTCTCTCTCTGTATTTCTATTTCTGTTTCTTCTTCTATTTCTCGATTTCTCTATTTTTTCTTTCTTTCTCTTTTTCTCTCTCTTTCTCTCTCTCTTTCTTTCTCTCTTTCTCGCTCTATTTTTCTCTCTATTTCTATTTCTCTCTCTCTGTTCCTCTCTGGGCTTTTTTCCTAGACGGCGATCAAGAGAAACAATCCTCGTAAGTTCCTGCGAAGTGTTGGAGATGGGGAGACGGTGGAGTTCGACGTGGTGGAAGGCGAGAAGGTGAGGCCCCGGCGGCGGCTTTTTCCGGCACCGCCGTCCATCCTCCCGAGAGCCGGGACGGTTTTTGGGGGGCGACTTGACTCCTTTTCTTTTTGCCTTCTCGCAGGGGGCCGAAGCGGCCAACGTCACCGGCCCCGGCGGGGTCCCCGTCAAAGGCAGCCGCTACGCCCCCAACCGCCGTCGCTTCCGCCGAATTATCCCGCGCTCCCGCCAGGCCCAGCTGCCCCCCGACGCCGCCCGGCCCGAGGCGGGCGCCGAGACGGCCAGCGAGGGCGAGAAAGCGGACGAAGGGGTCCAGCAGCGCCCGCGCAGGAGGCGCCCCCCGCCCTTCTTCTTCCGCCGGAGATTCGTGAGGGGACCCCGGGCTCAGGCCCAGCCGCCCCCGCAGCCCCACACCGCGGACGTGAGTCTGGGCCGGGCCGGCCGCCACTTTGTGACTCCATCACCCCCCCCCCGAGAGGCCTCAGGCCTTTCTCTTGTTGCCCCCCCACCCCCGCTTCCCAAGCAGGAGACCCGGCCTAGCCCACGTGAGACAAATCAGGAAATATAATCAG